CACACACACACACACACACACACACACACACACACACATTTTATACTTAAAACAAACTTACTTTCATTCGTTGTAAATAGTTTTTGGGGGTTTTCGCGGAGGACCATTAATTTGACAGGAGACACTGCCTCTCGGAGAGCTCTGATCGCTTCAGAGAATGGAAGATCTTGTAACGATACTTCGTTAACCTGAGGAATCAGAACATTTTTACCTTAGATCAGATGAAAAGTCTGACGAGTGAAGACTGATCAGCTTAGTAACAATTTTATATATTTAGTAGGTGTTTTAAGTTCATTTAGAATATTTGTCAGTCTTAGTGACACATTATCTTCACTTTTTTGGTGCCGTCACCAGGGTTTATAAAAGTATCCTAATTATTCCTGCACGTTAGACAATTTTAGACTCAAGTTGAACTAATTGAAACAAGTATGTGCATATAAAAGAAAGCCCCCCCCCTTCCTGTGGCACAGCGGAGGGTCTGCGGACTTGTAACTCTAGAGGCTGGGTTTCAATACTCGTGGTGGGCACAGCGCAGATAGCCCATTGCGTAGCTTTGTACTTAACTACAAATATATTATATTAAAATGTTTAATTTAAAAAATTCATAGTTAATGTTATTATCCTGGCGTATCAACCAATCCAACTTAAATATTTTCAAACATTTGCACGTTTTTAGGCTTACTGTTTATAGTGCACAGTTTAATTTATTTAGGGAACAGAAGAAACGTTCTAAAAGGGGAGAAAGTAATGTTATTTGTTTCCCCACCTTTCTAATGAGAGGAGTCAACTCAGGGGGTGCTGTACACCACCATTTTTACATAGTTGACTAATATAGCAACTTTAAATTTGATGGGGGGGCATGCTCCCAGAACCCTTTAGGTTGATGTGCCTTTGCCAGCTGCTTTTAGCACCTCCCACTTTACAACTCCTTCCTTCACCACTGCCAATACCCGACATTATGTTTGTGGTGATTGAAACAGGGGAGTGGCTTTAATACATATCAGGACACCATATCAAATATACCAACTCGGCCCTTAAACTCTTAATACTAAATCTTTAAAAGGATCATTTACTGAAATAAAGTGAACGCGGAGAATTTCGTCCAAACAGATCTATCTTTTAAAGATAAGTTTTAATCCACTGATATTACTTGAATATATTTTCTTTTTTTAATCCAAGTTTGGCACAATCGGTTATCTGATCTCTGGCCGCCACAGGGATCGAACCTAGAATCTAGTAGCCCTCAAAACTTGTATTACCGATGACCCAAGAGAAGGCGGGCACTTTAGTTAAAAGTGGAAATTTCCAAAGTTGCTAGTTTTAATTGTTTCTCTATAGGATGTAAAAATATACGTGAATAACAAGCAGCTAGAAAACACTTTTTGGTAAGATTTCTTAGCTAATATGAATAAGAATGGTTTGATAACCAATTATTTCAACCCTAGAAGAAGCACTCGGGTTAGCGGGTTTCTCGATTTGTGAAAAATCAGATTCAGGTCTTTGGTTTCTTATGTCGTGAAAGATCAGGTTCTAGTTTCGGATTATCAGGTTTCTCATGTTCTGAAAGATCTCTTTGGTTGAAGTTAAGCACAAAGCTACACAATGGGATATCTGTGCTCTGCTCATCACGGGTATCTAAACCCAGATTTTAGAGTTGTAAGTCAGCAGACATTCCGCTGTGCCAATGGGGGGGGGGCTCTAAAAGGTCAAATTCAGGTTTGGAGTTATCGTATTTATATTGTGAAAAATAAGATTTCGGGCTATTTAGCCAGTTGAAAGAGATGTTTCTAGAACTTTAAAAGTAATATTTAAATAAAGTTATACTTACATAAAATGTAAAATGTAGAATATCTGACGGTGTAATGGCCTAATGTGGTCTAATAGTTGTTAGGTAACATTCTTATTGTTTAAAGGCAGGAAAACTATGAGAAATACAGTTTTTATTAGACTTGTATTATCTTATATTTCCTTTTCTTGCATAGGTATCTGATTGGTCAAGTTGAACAATATTTGAATTAATGGGGGAATATATCGAAAAATCATTTAGCAAAGAAAATAATGCGAACAGAAAACTTAATCTAGAAATAGTTTAATTAATTATAATAATCAATTAGAATGTTTATATCAGTACATTTATATGAAAGTCATAAGTGGATTTAAAAAAGCCTACAAACTAAAACCATTATAATATAATAGCCAAAAATCAGTTTTGTCCAGTTTATGCCAAAAAGTACAGAAACAAGATAGGGATGAATACACAAAACCATACAAAATTCACTAGATAAGTAGCCCAAACTTTACAAGAGTAAATTTATCTACAACTAAATGTTGAATTCAGGTTTTAAAAAACATTTAAGCTAAATATTGCTATACAATTTTACAGTTTCTAATAACCACAAGCTTGTAAGATTGACTCAGTACTTAATGGTTACTTATATGGGACTTTATATATTTGTACTCATCCCTACCTTGTTTCTGTACTTTTTGCCATTGCCATCCCTATATCATGCTTAATTTTTGCAAAATTTCTTATTACCCATTTCTTTTTTAAACAATTTCATTGATATAGGTTGATAAGTGAACATACGTTTTATTTTTCTAATTCAATGGTAATGCCCTCCCAGTGGCACAGCTGTATGTCTGTGGACTTACAATGCTAGAATCCGGGTTTCAATAGCCGTGGTGGGCAGAGCACAGATAGCCCCTTGTGTAGCTTTGTGCTTAACTAACAAGCAAAGGTAATATATGGAGCGCTGGATCGACGTTTACAGATATTTATAGAACCCAAAATCACTGCCCATGCATATTCTAGGGTCATGTTGATTAATAGGGAGGACATCATACAGATCCTAGTCCATGAAGTACGATACCTCGCATACACACACAGCTGCCAGGTTTAAATATTAATATTAATTTAGATTATTCTTTATTTATTTATTTACACGGAAATTGTTTTAGCAGATATCATATTTGTGAAATAAAAAGTCACAAACGGACGTTATACAAGAAGTTGTGCTGCCCTCTAGCGACCAGAAATTAAACTTATTCAAACTATCTAGAATACAGGTAGATTTTATAGAACAAGTTATTTTCATGTATTTCGTTCATAGAGTTATTTATATAGAACACAAGTAGACTACGTACAACAAGTAAAACGTCACCTTCCTTCAAACGGCCATCTTTATAAGCAGCACCATCTTTATGAACTTCTGTTACACATACAGATTCCTGAAATTGACATTTATTTATGATTAGTATTCTGTTTCTCACAGATTGGTTTTCATAGAAAAATACTCATTTATTTATTTTAATACTTATTTTAATTGTTATTGTAGTAATATAGTATTTTTACATTACATATATAGATACATACATACTAGATTTTTACAAATGTATATACAAAATTGTATTTAAAAAATATTTAAAATCAACTGAGTAAAACAAAAATGGATTTCTTTTATCATCAGGAAACAATTAAAACATATTTTAGTCTGATTTAGATCGGGCATCAAATGTTTAGTTAAAGAGCTCTCTATCACTCTAAAGAAAAAAAAAAAAAGTTACATTTGTCCATTGTCCCCCCCCCCCCACCATAGGTATCTGACTAGTTATCATAAAACCGCGGGAGTAACTTATTAATATTTCAAAGATTGCTCTAGGTATACAAACAAACAAAACTCAGATAAACCTGATACGGCAAAACCACCTATAATCATAATATGATTATCAAATATTAAACTAATTTATCTTTGATGTTTTATCAGAAAATAAAAGTTGTATTGTTAATAGATTAATAGTTACTACAACAGTAGTAAAAGACGTAAGATACGTTGACGTTTGAGGGCGCCCCAACGGTATGTCTGCGGACTTACAACGCTAGAATCCGGGTTCCGATAGCCGTGGTGGGCAGAGCACAGATAGCCCATCGTGTAGCTTTGTGCTTAATTAAAAACAAACGTTTGAGGGAATATAATGCTTATTGAAGATCTCAGAGTGCAAAGGTGGTTTGTTGGATTTCTCGAGAAGTGTCAGCACCACCCACTGTTAACTAACCAAATACTGGGATTTGACAACAACTCTTATTATGCGCCTACGGTCACTAGCTGCGGAGTGCGATTTTTTTTTCGGTGGTAACAGGGCACGAGCCACCGAAACTTGGATCCTCAGTCCGGCACACTAACCATTGGACCGAGTCAAGAATGTATAATTACTCCTAAATAATTAATACAAAAAAACTAAACTAAAACTAAGGAAGGAAGAAAGGACATAAAATTAATTCACGTCAACAAAGCTTAGAAATAGTCTCTTTAGTGTTTAAAGCCGAAAGTATATTACTCAAAGCTTCAACCATTCCCCCAAAAGACGCTAGAATTTAAAAGTACTAATGTATTGAAAACGAACATTGAACAAAATTCTATCTTTTGTGAACGAGAAATTAGTAACTGCCCGGTGTCGGATGAGAAGAGAAGTGAATTAGGACCAACTGAATTTTGGTAGTAAGTGTTTCGTCGTTACAGTTCGCGTTTGTTGTTTGAATCTCAATAAAATCACTTGGAGTTTTTATTCTTATTTAAAGAATAGCCAGTTGTCTCACGTTAAAATATCTTCATGCAATTTGAAAAAAATATAGAAATATTTGTGTGTTGTGATTTTCTTATAGCAAAGCCACATTGGGCTATCTGCCGTGTCCACAGAGGGAAATCGAACCCCTGATTTTAGCGTTGTAAATCCGTAAACTTACCAATGTTACAGCGGAGGACTAAAATGTTATGGAACCACAAAGAAACATGAGAGAAGAGAATCTCTTTATTAATAACGTAATCGTCTGCTTTTAATTTACATGCTGCAACTGACGATCGACTCTTCTTATTAAGGTTACTTGTTTTTTTGTTGTTGTTTTTCTGCCGTTGTTAGTTTTCTAATCTGCTTATCTTTACACTTATTTGAAATATACATGTTAATCTAGTCAACACTAGACAGCGCTAAACGTATTAAATCCTCAACGCTTTGTTGTTCGTAGAAAAACACTTAAATATAGCATGAAAATATAACAAACAAAGGAAGAATACAATGTACTGCTGTAGTAACTGCTACATAAAAAAAATATCTAGATATTGGATGTGAAAGATAAACATAACGTATAAAACACTACGAATACTCGTATTACAATAAAGGGGACGCTTATGTCAAAGTGTACAATTAGCATTCTCTTAAATAATTCACAATTTTTTCACGATCTTATTTTGGCCAGTAAATGTAATATACAATGTTTTCTAAGAATACCATCAAATGTACATTTATCATAAGTTTTAAAACTACAAGAACCTAGTTTTTTAGATTTGATGCTTTAAGCCTCTTCGAGTCCCCACCCCTTTTTTTTTTTTTTCTCTCTCTCCAATTTTTGCCTACTTTATATTTAGTCAACTTTGGTATTAGTTTCTTGATGTCTAAAGTTTTTTGATTCCAAGTTCTTGTTCGAACTACACATTAATTCAAAGTTATTTTCATCTGCAGTTCCATCACATTCTTGGTATAGACGTTTGAAGAGTAAGGCTTCTGCTACTCTTTTATACATTTCCATAACGGACTTAATCTCGTCAATCTCGAGAATACAACGGTAAACAACGTAGGATCGTTGAAACACAATTTGTCCTTTATCTAAAATAATGTTCTCCATTCCCATATTTTAAAGTTACACACACACACTGAAATTTGTGGATGGTTTGATTTCAAAATATTTTTCATTCCAATTCTCACCACGTTACTTTCTTTGCCCATTAATAGGCAAGTGACGTAAAATGACAGTTTTGGAATGTAATAACGTTTTTACGAGGGGTGTACAGTGTGCCAAATGATGGTATACGAAAACAATTTCTTAACAAAACATTATTCTCCAATTTTTTATGAATATAACGATATCACTGGATCTATGTATTAAGACATTTATCAAACTGATCTTATATTTAACAGGTATAAAACTATCAACATGATTATACAATCCTGTATTCCTTGGTTTATGTTACTTTTATTTCCAAATGGTCACCAAAGTTGCTAATTGCAAGAAATAAAAAGACAAACTTATTATCTTTTTCAATCGTGAATTTCATACATGTTATTTGTTCAAATATTCTAAAGACACATTTACGTGTCATTTTATTCTTGAAACTACCACAGATGACGCTAAGACACCTGTGATATATAAAAGGTTTAGAATCCTCTGGATAGTCATTTCATAATAACAAAACAAAGAAAAATACTTTCTGGACTAGATGCTACTTTTGGGTCCATAGCACCGCCATCTATTGTACAATTTGATAACTTAATTTAAAACGAAAAAGAATCTGATGCTACTTGAATTACTTATTAGTATACAGCGACTCAATATCAAAACTTGTACAAGAAATTGTTCATCAAATCATACATCTGAACGGTTATTTAGAGATCTCAAAATTATTCCTACGTGAAACAGAGCAAAAGGCTTTTTTTTTTATTTTTTTTTACATCTAGATAAAACAGCGACTGCGACACCGTTACAAATAAAACCATTTCGGTTAAACATGACTAAGAATTAGGCCACTGTATTCTAAATACCATAGCAATCTGATGGAAACAACCCTCCTTTTTTCAGGAATTTGCCTATACAGTTACAGTAAAGTCGTTTGGATCAGATGATTCGAAGTTCTATGACCGATAATAGTCAGCAACTTGCTGTGCCCACCCCAGGGAATCGAGCTCCAGATTGAGTTTTCACCAACGGCTGATGTTTTCGAACGCTTGAAATGAATTTGTTTCCCAGATAGTAATGGGCCTGCTTATATTGTAGTGCAGTGAAATGGTTGCAGGAAATTTTGGTTTGTACTATGGTTATAGGGCTGAAAGTTATAATTACTATAGCGATATGTATTTATTTTAGGGTTAGCGAAAGCACCTTTGGATAAAAAAAAATTCGCTATCGGTCGCGACAACGGAAGTTTTTTTTTAGTATGTTCCCATTTTTATTGTTCTCTCCCCCCCCCCCCTCATATGAGACGGTGGCAAGTCTACAGACCGGGGCTCTATTCCCAGAGGTGGACACAGTAGACAACCCAATGTGGTTTTGCTCTAAAACAAACCATTTTTTATTGTCCTCCCCCCCCCCCCTCATATGAGACGGTGGCAAGTCTACAGACCGGGGCTCTATTCCCAGAGGTGGACACAGTAGACAAC